TGAGTCGGTGAAACTCCGACGAAACAGTTTGTCACAGCCCCTCGTTTGTTGTCCTCTTCTCTCTCTCTGCCTACGGTTTTACCGGGCAGTTCTGTCTGTGACGATATATACACAGCCCCTCGTTTGTTGTCCTCTTCTCTCTCTCTGCCTACGGTTTACCGGGCAGTTCTGTTTGTGACGATATATATCGTCAAATAGAATATATATGTCACCAGCCCATACCTACGGAGGTTCCCGGGCCAACCTCCGTACGTGCGGGCATTCGGGGTCCCATTCGGGGTCTGAACCCGAAGGCATTTGGCCCCCGCCCAAAAATATTTCTGGGCCTAAAAATAAGTTTTTTTTTCTGAAAATTGTTTTGTGAATTCTCTATGATGTGGGGTACATGCCTACAAATTTTGAAGTTATTTTGCTAAGCCAAACAAAAATTAACAATCGCCAAAGATGATGGTGTCAAAACGTGACTATTTTGTTTTTTTTTTCACTTTACTTTTTGTTTTCACTTTATTGCAGGGCCTAAACAATTTTATTATATTTTGAATGTTTTAAACTGAGTTTTGTATTGCAGGGCCCTGAAGTACACATCTGCAAATTTTCAGGGCATTTGGCTGTGCCAAAAAGAAAAGAAAAATTGCCAAAGATGGCGGTGTCGAAAACGTTCTCGCTCACTCACTAATTTTAATTCTCTTTTCATTTTTTTCTTATTTTTATATTTTATTATTAGATTTATTTTCTGTTTCTAATTTTTAAATTTTATTATTAGTTTTATTTTCTGTTTCTAATTTTTATTTCTAATTAGTTCTCTTTTCTGTTTATTTTATTTGTCTTCATTACATATCGTTTTTCTTATATTTTTTTGAGATGTTTTTTTTTTTTTTTTTTCCCGGTCCGCGTTCGGGCCGAACGGCCGAACGCATCCCCAAGGGGTCCCGTACGTTCAGGCGTTTGGGCTCGGGCGTTCAGCCCGTCCCGAACGCTGGTTACCCTGTATATATATATGTATACAGGGTCACCAGCCCGCACGTACGGAGGTCCCCGGGCCGACCTCCGTACGCACGGGGTCCCATTCGGGTCCCGAACCCAACGGCGTTCGGCCCCTGCCAAAAATGATTTCGGGGCCTAAAAATAACTTCTTTTTTTTTTTTGTGAGTTGTCTATGATGTGAGGTACATGCCTATAAATTTTCAAGACATTTTGCTCAGCCAAACAAAAATTAAAAATCGCCAAAGATGGCGTTGTCAAAACGTGCTCGCCCACTGACTATTTTGTTTTTTTCACTTTTTACTTTCTGTTTTCACGTTATTGTGGGGCCTAAAAACTTTTATTATTTTTTGAAACTTTTTAATGAGTTTTGTATTATGTGAAGTACACATCAGTAAATTTTCAGTGCATTTGGATGTGCTGACAAAAAATGAAAAATCGTCAAAGATGGCGGTGTCGAAAACGTGCTCGCTCACTAACCAATTTTAATTCTCTTTTCATTTTTTCTTATTTTTATTATTAGTTTATATTTGTATTTTATTTTTATTTCAAATTTGGTAAAGAATTTGGATGTAATGCTCAGGCAAAATTCTTTGGGAAAAAAAAAATTGTTTATTAACTTTATT